TTTATTTTATTTTATTTTATTTTATTTTATTTTATTTTATTTTATTTTTCGGTCTCACTATGTACCCTGGCTGGCCTAGAACTCCATATGTAGTGGCACCGGGCTGTGAGCTACCATTCCAGGTAGTCTGAACCTTCTTAAACATGTGTATTCTGTGAGTATACAAGTGAGTGTGAAATTACAGGGTTCCTGTAAAAGGAACTTTATATTCACCTGTTTCAATTGTTTTCTCAATTTCTACGTTAGCAGAAAGAGGATTACTGCCTCTTTCTGCTAACGTAGGCCTAGTCCTGGAAGCTTCTAGCCTCTGTATTATCTAACCTAGGCCTAAAATGTTTCCAGCCTTGGAGAGTTACTGCTTAATAAGCTCATCCTTTCTTTGTTCTTACTGAGTTCTGGGCTTGAGAGTTCAACTCAGCTGTTCTGGCTCAAACTCCTCTCCCCACTGACTTATTCAACCTCGCTTTTCTCTCCTCAGCCCCTCAATTGCTCTGCTTGGCCTCTAACTCCAGCAATCTTAATCGTATGGCTCCTTCTCCTTTTCTTTGCCTCTTTCTGTCTTCACCTATGTCTAGCTTGTTCTTTCTTAACCTGTCTCTGTATATCTATATCTGTCCTGGTAAAACTGCCTTCTCTTTCTTTCTCTTTCCCCTCCTCCCCCCACCCCCACACTGCCTCTTAAGTAGCTTCCCCTCTTCTCCTGAGAGTTGGCCTTATCCTAGTCTGTCAAACCTTTCTCTGATTGGTCACTATTTCTGCCACTCAGTTGGACATCACTTTCAAACATGGGTTTCTTTCTACAAACTAACTTTATTGTTTGGGATTAAAGGCGTGTACCACCATGCCTGGACCTAAGCTTTTCTTTATCTGAAACTTCCTCAATACCAAGCTGGCCTTGAACTCAGATCTGCTTGGTTCTGTCTTCCTGGTTTAAAGGCAAGTTTGTATTCCAGCTGGTTCACACAGACTTTCTGAGTCTTTCGATGTGATCTCTTGCCAGAACAACCATATGCTGAATTAAAATTCTTCCACAGGTCCCTATCTGCATATCTTATGCAGATTAATATCTTATATACACATACTTTAAACTTGCCGATTCAAATAAGGATCTTTTTTCCATTGCCTGATTTCTATAGGTAAACTTCACACACACACACACACACACACACACACACACACACACACACTCAAGAAATGGCTTAGTTGATAAACTTTGCTTTGCAAACATAAGAACCTGAGTTAGATCCCTGGAACTCATGATTTTTTTTTTGTTTTGTTTTGTTTTTATTTTTAAACTTTTATTAATTACACTTTATTCACTTTGTATCCCCCCATAAACCCCTCTCTCCTCCCCTCCCAATACCACCTTCCCTCCCCCTTCTTCACACCTGCCCTTCCCCAAGTCCACTGATAGGGGAGGTCCCCCTCTCCTTCCTTCTGATCTTAGTCTATCAGATCTCATCAGGAGTGGCTGCATTGTCATCCTCTGTGGCCTGGTAAGGCTGCTCCCCCCTCAGGGGGAGGTGATAAAAAAGCAGGCCAATCAGTTCATGTCAATCAGTCCCTCTTCTCATTACTATGGACACTGAACTGCCATGGGCTACACCTGTGCAGGGGTTCTAGGTTATCTCCATGCATGGTACTTGGTTGGAGTATGAGACACTGGAAAGACCCCTGTGTTCAAATTTTCTGGTTCTGTTGCTCTCCTTGTGGAGTTCCTGTCCTCTCCAGATCTTACTATTTCCCACTTCTTTCATAAGATTCCATGCACTCTGCCCAACAGTTGGCCATAAGTCTCAGCATCTGCTTTGATAGTCTGCAGGACAGAGCCTTTCAGAGGCCCTCTGCGGCAGGTTCCTAGGTTGTTTCTTGTTTTCTTCTTCTTCTGATGTCCATCCTCTTTGCCTTTCGGGATGGGGATTGAGCATTTTAGTCAGGGTCCTCTCTCTTAATTAGTTTCTTTAGATGTACAGATTTTAGTAGGTTTATCCTATGTTATATGTCTATATGAGTGAGTATATACCGTGTGTGTCCTTCTGCTTCTGGGACAGCTCACTCAGGATGATCCTTTCCAGGTTCCACCATTTACCTGCAGATTTCATGATTTCCTTATTTTTCATTGCTGAGTAATATTCCATTGTGTAGATGTACCATTGTTTTTTTTTTTTTTTTATGTGTATGGTTTGCCTGCACATATGTCTAAACATCACATGTGTACCTGGTGCCTGAGGTCAGAAGAGGGAGTTGGATCTTACAGAGCTGGAATTATAGATTGTTGTGAGCAGCTATGTGGGTGCTGGAACTCAAACCTAGGTCCTCTGGAGAGGCAGCCACTGTTCTTAATGGCTGTCTCTCCATCCCGTGGCGTTGTTTGTTTGTTTGTTTGCTTGTTTAAAAGCTAGAAAAGTGGAGCCTGGAGAGATAGCTCCGAGGTTAAAAGAACTGACTGCTCTTCCAGGGGTCCTAAGTTCAATTCCCAGCAACCACAAGATTGCTCACAACCATCTATAGTGAGATCTGATGCCCTCTTCTGGCATTCAGGTGTAAATGCATACAGAACATTCTATACATAATTAATAAATCAACCTTAAAAAAAAAAAAAGCTGGAAAACTGAATGTTGCTGGAGCCTGCTGGCAGAGTCGAACAGTTCCTAAGTGGGGAGTAAGGATTGAAATAATTAAAGCAAGTCACACAACCCACAGGATTGGCACTAGAGAGCTGTCAGTAAGACGGCAGCGAGGCTTTATTCCACAATTCTTTTTTATAGGCAAAACAAAAACAAGTCACATCAATACAAGAAAGAAGTTGGTGGAACTGCTGAACTTATTTTCTAAAACTACTGCCCTGTAGCAGATGTGATCCAAGGTCACACAAAGAAGTTTTAAGGAACTTGGTGAAACTTCCTCTTTTCTCCGTCTCAAGGTGAAGGCCAGGGTGAAAACATGTTTTTCGATAAATAACAAAGCAGCTTGACAAACAAGCAGCTCTCCACAGAATGTGGTGGCACGTATCTTTAATTCCAGCCATCAGGAGGCAGAAGCAGGTGGACCTCTTTGAGTACGAGGCCCACCAGCTGTACATAGTGAGTTCCAGACCAGCCAGAGCTACATAGTGAGGCTGTATTTTTATTGAAAGAGGCTGGGGTTCTGGCTCAGTGTTAGAGCCTTGGCCTCAGGTCTCAGCATCTAAAGAAACAGGGAAAAGATTTGAAAATAGTAGGATGTCATAGGTTTGTTTTAAAATAATGTGAGTTCATTCCTGGAACCCATATGGTAGAAGAAAAATATCTGGCTCCCTTAAATTTTCGTGGGTGTGGTGGCATACACCTGTAATTCCAGCACTCAGGAGGCAGGGGAGACAGGGGAGACATGGCCTTTGCATGTCTAAGGCCACTCTGCTCTACATAGCAAGTTCCAACCAGGACTACATAATGAGACTCTGTGTTTCAAAAAAGTTAAAATAACAGAGCATGGTCACTGTCGCCATTGGCAGCTGTCAAGACTTCTCACATGCTTTAATCTACTGAACTCTTCCCCTCTCTCTCTACCTTCTACTCGGCACACACATACAAATGGAGCAAGAAATAAGAGAGTCTAAAAGAAAATATATAATGGCTATTTGTTGATCATTAGTGACGCCAGATGACATGTTTAGAACAGAGACAAGGGAAAGACATATTCAGCCTGATGTGATGGCATATAACTGTAATCCCCACACTCCAGAAGCCAGCCTAGTCTACACGAATTCCAGGCCGACCGGGGCCACGTGAGGCCTTTTTCAAATAAAACAAAGATAACAATCTCATCAATAAGCTCAAGGATTTGCCATTAAGACTCTCTGTGGCTTCTGATGAGTCTTCCAGTGGCTCGGACCTCAGCTCCCGTACCCACTGATGCATAAATTGTGGACTTTGGTCAAGATCTAAGCCCTGGAATCTCGAACCTGTACAGGAGCATGAGAGCACGTGGGTATGAAGAAGAGACAAGGTCCTCAATAGCCAGGGCAGTGTGAACTTCAACTCAGCTCTAACTCTTAGGTCACTGGTGGGAAAGTTAAAGCAGTTAATAGGTGTATAGGGCCTGGGTCGTTGACCGATAACAAATATTAGTTTCCTGGCTCAACGTCTCATCTTAACTAGGACCAGTGACGTTGTTTGCAATCCCGCCTCCCGAGGGCCAAGTGCAAACTAGAGGATGCGCAGATGAGCGCACAGCGCCCTCCCGCGCCGCCTGGAAGTGCCGAGGCTCCGCCCCCTGCGCGCGCGCCCAGGCACCGCCCCCGAAGTTTGTTGTTGTCTGCCGCGTCCCGGACGTTTGTGGCGGTGGCAGCGGGTTGGGGCGGCCGCGCCACCATGGCGGTGCGACAGGCGCTGGGCCGAGGCCTGCAGCTGGGTCGGGCGCTGCTGCTGCGCTTCGCGGCCAAGCCCGGCCTGTCGGGCTGGGGGAGGCCCGGCCCCGCGGCGGCCTGGGGCCGCGGAGAACGCCCGGGCCGGGCCTCAGGCCCCGGAGCGCAGCCGCGCCCGCTTGGGCTCCCCCTCCCCGACCGCTACCGCTTCTTCCGCCAGTCGGTGGCGGGGTTGGCGGCGCGGATCCAGCGGCAGTTCGTGGTGCGGGCCCGGGGCGGCGCAGGCCCTTGCGGCCGAGCGGTCTTCCTGGCCTTCGGGTTGGGGCTGGGGCTGATCGAGGAGAAGCAGGCGGAAGGCCGGCGGGCCGCCCTGGCCTGTCAGGAGATCCAGGTGAGCGCAGCGGTGGGCGGGGAGCGCCGGGAGCAGGCGGAGCGAGGCCGCGGAGCAGCCCTGAGGCGGGGCGGGGCCTGGGGCGGGCGGGGGCGGGGCTAGGAGAGTGAGTGTTGGGGCCTGGGCCGGGAGGAGGCTCTGAGCCCGAGGGGAAGGAACCACTCTAGGGGCTGAAACGAGGGCCACGCTCGTCGGCTGGGATCCCGCCAGGACCTGGGGCGAGGGAGGGAGAGGCTACAACTTGAGCCACAGCTGGGAGCAGGGGTGTGTGGGGGCGGGAATCCTTGAGTCAGGAGGAAATAGGGAGTTCCGGTTTAGCGTGGAGGCGTGGCTTGGTGCTGGGGGCACGTCTGGAAAGCGGTTTCTGTGCCCTTAAGTTTGCGCCGCTGATTGGGGACGGGCACAGAACCAGCAGCAGGGGCGGAGCAAGCTCAACAGTTGTGGAAGCAGCTTCTGAATCTTAGTGTGGGGGCAGGTCTGAGGGTGAACCAGAGGCGTGGACATTGAGAAGGGCAGGTCCCTGGCCGTGATTGGGCAATTCAAGGGGTGGGGTACTCGTGGAGTGGGCTAAGCAAGGGGTTGGGAGGAAGGTGGCATTTTAGTTATGTCTGGGAACATGCCATGAGGGCGGCATGCCTAGTCCTGGTGTGTGTGTGTGTGTGTGTGTGTGTGTGTGTGTGTGTGTGTGTGTG